TAATACATGATATTAGCTCATCCCATAAAAATAAAATTTAAGTGTATTTAAACTTTATTCAGCTTCCAAAAATAACTCTGGAATTCTAACATTAGCTCAATTAAAGAGTAGGAATAATGCAAACACATACATTTGCTAATTACAGTCCAAATGAAGATATAACATAAGTAAAAGTATTTACTGTATTCATTAAGAGAGTTTATTGGAGATTGTTGTTTTGTAAATATCAAACTTACCTATATTTGAGCCTCTAGCTCAATAATATCTGAAGAGCACAGTGTGCTCCCAATTTCATTTGTGTTGACTTTCTGTTTAAAGAGCAAAACCCATCCCCTTGAAATATAGCCATGTTCATCTAATGAACCTTTTTCTCTATCTCAGCATGTCAGAAAAATTTATTTCAATTTAAAAAGGAAAACATGAGGCCGGCCGTGTGGCATAGTGGTTAAGTTGTGCACCTTCTGCTTCAGTGGCCCAGGTTCACAGGTTCAGATCCCGGGTGTGGACCTACACCACTTGTCAGCCACACTGTGGCGGCGACCCACATATAAAGTAGAGGAAGGTTGACACAGATGTTAGCTCAGGGCTAGTCTTCCTCAGCAAAAAAATAAAATAAAATAAAAATAAAAAAGGAAAACATATGGCTATGACTTAACTGTTGAAAGGTAAAGTGCTCAATTTATGTGGATTTGGTCTTGCTGTTTCTCCAGTTCCTCAAATGTTATTTCAGCAAACAAACAAATAAAACATTAGTAGGTGAGTGAATTTTAGGCTGCATCTAAATATTCTTGACTGACTTCAAGACTTTTTGTGCTCAACACTTCTGTTCTCAAGAAATATATACATTGAGGACCCAAGTGTGCCGTTTAATTACCAGGCTGCTATTTGTTCATTTTCTTGAAATTCCTGAGTTCTCTGCCGCCTGGCTCCTGGTTAGGTCAGAAAGATATATGGAACATCCACAAGTAAGGCCCAAGTCACGTCAGCAATGCAGTCTCTCCCCTAGGCACCCGCTCACCTCCAAAGACATTTGTGTTGCCATTACTGAAGAGATCTCTCTGAAATATGTGTTAGAGCAAGATCACTTTTTAGAAGACAGTAGATTTTCTTGGTCATGTGTATACTGTTAGTTCATAATTCCCCTTTTAGAAATATGTAGTGACTCCCAAACTATGATTAGGTATTCATGAATGCATGTCATGCTATTTCTATTTGCACCATATCCATTCTCTCTATATTTGAGTTTACACTCACACACACACCTGTCACTTCCCCAATCTCCCTTTTTTCTATTCTAAAAATCAGTGAAACTATTCTGTATTTTTCTTATGTTGTAATACTGCAGCATCTAGAATTTCTTATGTGTACTCATGAATTTTTATTTATTAAATTTTTTTGTTTTTTGAGGAAAGTTAGCCCTGAGCTAACATCTGCTGCAAATCCTCCTCTTTTTTCTGAGGAAGACTGGCCCTGAGCTAACATCCGTGCCCATCTTCCTCTACTTTATACGTGGGACACCTACCACAGCATGGCTCGTCAAGCGGTGCTATGTCCATACCTGCTATCCGAACGGGTGAACCCCGGGCCCCCAAAGTGGAACGTGCACACTTAACCGCTGCACCACCGGGCCGGCCCCACTCATGAATATTTTTAATGCAGACGGTAAGAATAATGACAGTTACAGGTCTAAAGGCTGAATTTTTCCACTTTCAGAGATTATAAACTTGGTGAATTGTCTTTGTCAAGAAATATATTTTCAAAAAGGATTCCCACATATCATGAACTAGAATTACTGGTTTCCTTTTTTCTTCCTTTCTTTCCATGTTTTTTTCTTTCTTTCTTCCTTCCTTCCTTCCTTTTTTTGTACTACATGGTAATAATAGTCATTGCAGAACATTTGGAAAATGGAAAAAGATCAAGAAGAAAATAAAATTGCTATAATCTCACTATCTAGAGATAATAGTTATTAACATTATAATGCATATTTTTCTATACTATTAAATATGTATTACAAAATTTAGATAACATTGCACACACTATTTTATAATATGCTTTACTCAGTAAATGCACCATAAAGTATCTTAAAAATCCTAACATAGTGCTCTAAATTTCAATCATTATTGTGCTATGGCACACGGATGTATCTTAGTTTAAGATACATTAAAGGGCATAGACACTGATACTTTGAAGGTTTTACCCTCAAGGATCCCCTTGGTAGAAAACAGGAACACCGATGTTCCTGTGTGTCGCCAGCCTCTGAGAGGAGCCCTTACCCAAGTCCTCCGGTGGAACAGCAGCTGAGGCTGTAATCCTCCGGCTCCGGCTGCCAGGGGGCTGAGAGCCCTTCCTGCAGACCGCCTGACCATAATGTCCCGTCATGCTGTGAGGGAGTGACAAGTACACTGCAAGACTGCAAGACTATTTTCACAAAATTTCAAATATCTCCAATGATCTTGATTGTATATTTTAAAAGAACTTTAAGTGCTCAGAAATACCTTCCCTGCGTTCACAAAGGGATAATCTTCAGAATTTTTTTCCTTTTATTCATGCTTCTAAGTATTTCTTTTACTAAAACCACTCAAATATATTTAGGAGAGCATTCAGTAAAACCAGGACAGTTGGTCTTCACATCATAGAGTAGAAAAGACATTAATAGATACATCTTTTTGCGTCCAGAAAGAAAATCACCATCCAGTAAAACAGAGAATAATGTTTAAAAATACAGTAAGTTATGACTGCTCAGGAAGTGTTCGATTTCAAGATTTTAACGATATGTAGGCTGACTTGACATACGTATCTTTAGGCATCCACACAAAATAGTTGAAATCCTGAAAGTTTACACGTTTCAGATTACTCTAAATTTTCCCCCAAATGACCTTCAACGTTTTAACAGTATTTGCTCCTCGTGGCTAATAGGTTTCATCGTGTGGGGTTGTTTCTAAGGCCTAAGAAAAGGAGTCAAATTGAAGGGAAGAGCCGGGAAAACTGTGTTCGAAAAATATTTTTTCTCATTAGATTACAAACTAGAAACAAGTCCATCTTACTCATCCATGAACCCAGTTCCACCCTACGTGGGAAGAGTCTGAGACTGTGAAGCCGGATCTCCTTGCTATCCGTGTGAAGTTGAACACCTCCACCGGGACACGTCAGGAAGACGGCATCACTGGCGAGGTAGCAAGATCCAAATAGAAAACCAAAACATCTTATTGACTTTCTTCACCCGTTGCAAATACTGACCCATGCCTCCAAATGCTTTCTTCTTCACACGTTTAAACTTTAATACAAATTTCTTTTCAGTACATGATTCTGAAATCAGGATCTCAAAATCCAAGAGAAGAAATGAAGGCTCTGAGACAGAAAGGGAAGAGGCAATGAGCTCGTATTTTCTCCCTCTGTGGAATTACTCTCAGGCAAACACTAGCTGAGTGTTTGCAAAACAAAATACCTTAATGAGACAGTATAATCGCTTGAAGGAAGTGCCCACAATTATGTTTTCATTTTTATTATTTCTGAAATGAGAGATAATTGAAAGCTTTGCCAGTGGATTTTTGTTTTGTTGAAAGATTACAGCAATAGTGTCGAATTTTTTTTTTTTTTAATAATTCTGACTGTGGTGGTTTTTTCATCCTTTCTTTGGAAATAAAATGGGCTTGGGAATGAGAGCTTTTTCACTTTACCATATGTTATATATGTCATTATACACTTCACACTGGATTAATTCTTTTTTTCACTTCATCTTTAGTTAAATATGATACCACCAGAAGAAGTGAGTTGTACTGAGCGTCAAAATGCATATTCTAAGCAAAAGTCACAATGAAATGAACAACAAATAGCTGAGGACCCTTGCCTTCTTTTATGTGGGCTGATTGGCTGTTTAGGATGTTGTTAGTGTTTTGGGGTTTTTTATTCAGAATTTGACTTGAAAAGTTGAGATTAAAGTACCTGCCTTTATTCTTTTTCTTCATCGTTTATTGTGACTTGTTACTAATTTAGTTGGTGGCACAGTTATAGTTCTCTCTTTAATAGAAATGTCGGAAACAAACTGATTGTATCTGCAAAATTGTCAAACTGATAGTCGTCTTTCTGAGGCTGGATTTGGGGAGGCTAGGAAGGCTGGTTTTATGCAGGGATTTTGGATAGTGCACTTTGCAGATGGGAGTGCTAGAAGCAGGGGCAAGGTAGAAGCCTCCAATGGCATTCTCAGGAAAGATTGCAAAAATATGGCAAAGCGAGAGTGCAGGCAGGAACAATTTAGCCTACATGGTGGATTTGGTATGCATTGACCTGCCAGCTTGCAGATACAATTTCAGGGTTCCTTTCAGCTGGCAATGCCACTTAGAAAGGGGAGAGCAGAAACATGTACCTTGTAGGCCTGCCGTTCAGGCTGTGCCTCTAGCTTTTCCAGTAACACTGGTAGAAAGAACCTGGCATTTTATTAACATCCTTAGACTCAGCAGACTGAAAATTATGACTCTGCAGCTATACTCTAAACTACAGTTAAAAAAAATGTCTCTCTGCTACATTTAAGGGGAAAAGATTCCCTTGCTGTCTCGTGGGCATTCCTAAGGATCTGATAATTTAAGGAAATTAAAAAAAAACAATGCATTGCGTGTATGTTGAAAAACAGAGTGATATCTACTATAGAGGAAGACCTCTGAACTTGTGTCTTCAATCTGAAGACAGGAAGGACCAAATTTACAAAAGAATTATTGGGGCTGGCCCTGTGGCTTAATGGTTAAGTTAGGTGTTCTCTGCTTTGGTAGCCTGGTTTCATGGGTTCAGATCCCAGGCACGGACCTACATTCATCAGCCATGCTGTGGCAGTAACCCACATACAAAGTAGAGGAAGCCTGGCACAGGTTTTGGCTCAGGGTGAATCTTCCTCAAGCAAAAAGAGGAAGACTGGTGGCATATGTTAGCTCAGGGTGAATCCTCCTCAACAAGAAAAAGAATTATTGGCACGTATTAAGAAAAATTGGTTTTTTTTTTCCTGTATCTTGCAACAGCTTCATTGTTAAAGAATCAAAACGTGTTTTTCTAAAAATTTCTATGCTCTTTAATAAAAGTTAACTTGTCTAGTAAATACTTTCAAGGAGGTTTCTTGGTAATTTGGTAAAGAATTCCAAGAAATTCTAAAGAATTTTGCCTTCCCTATCCCCATTATTTAAAAAAACAAACTTAATTTTCTTTCTCTTTCTGAGAAAGTTATAGGTTAACAAATTTTCTCCAAATATGGGACTCTAGGCCATGCAGACCTTGTTTGTAATTGGAGCCCCACCACTCACCAGTAACAGTGCACAGGCTAATTATTTTCATCTATGAAATTGGAATAATAACAACTACATCGTAGGATCACTATGAGGATTGAGATAATATTCATGAAGCTCCCAGCCTTCTACATCTTGTAAGACAGGTGCTCACATTGTCACTTCCTTTCTTGTTCCCTGCTGGTCTCCCTTTTCTGGTCCCCCCATTCCAACAACCTAATCTCTAAATAATGCATACGTAATTGTAGGAACATTAGCTTGAAAGCCCAGATGCATTTGTTACTGAATTAACTCAGCAGTAAACTTGGCATTCTGTTCCCAACGTTTCCCCGTCATTAATCCAGACGGGCAACCCCCTCAAACACAGGAGTACATGAGGACACCAGGCGAACCGTGAAACCAGCCACGCACGTGAGCATTTTCTATCAGGGTTTCAGCTGGTCTGGTTCTGCCTCAAAGACCACACAGAGCTCATGTTGCTCATAATTAACTGACTCTGGCCATGTGGTGGCTGCCATCAAGATCAGCCATAAGGAGGACAGTAGTTCAATAAAATCCTGAACTCTATTTATAGCCTACTTGAAACAAACACTTTGCTGTGAAGCCCAAGGAGTCCTTGAGAACACAGAAAGTAATTCACTTGTCCCAGGACTAACTCGGGCAATCAAAGGGAGGAAAATGCAGTGAGTACATTTTTCTTAGCACTCTATAATTCACAAAGTATTTTCTCCTACACGTTGTCCCATTTCAGCCTCACACCAAACCAGGAGGTAGATAAGCTGACACTAGTAGTAACAAATCCCCATTTTATAGATTACAAAACTGATGCCTAGGAGGTTAGATAAATTGCTCAAATTACACAGCTGGTGAACCGTGGTGGCTGGAGGAGGGGAGAGGAAAGTAACTCAAGAGCAAGAATAATTTCCTGATAAAGCTGTTGATCTAAACTTCAGTAAATCATTGTTTACTTATAAGAAACATTACATGACTAAGAGAAATGTTTTGTAATGTACTTGCAAGCTTAAACGTTGTTCCCTCCCCATTTCTGTTGGGAAAACCAAAATATGAGAAATAAAAACCTAGAAAGACTCTACCAGGAAATATTGATAAACATGTTTGGATCTGTCTATAGCACATACTTGCAGACGATTATATTTTAGTCAAGAAGCGCCTTCTTGAAACCCTTCCAAATTAAAATGTGCCTAAGCCAAGATTAATCTGGAAAAAGATAGTAGGAGTTTTTATGAGAAATTTTAATTGATTCTGCCAGTCATCTCTGAAATAAATACATCTTTACTATCTTTTTAGTATGGGGGGGTTTGCATAATTCCAGTATGGACATAAAAAGCAAGACTTCATTCATATAATTAGTTTATGAACCAGAAATGATTTTACTCTTAAAAGAATTATTTTATTTTGATTTTGGCAAATACTTGAATTTTTTAAGACCTTCCTTTAAGCCTCGTTACCTGGAAAGGGTATGCAAAAACTTTTTGGCTTGAGAAGGATGTCTGGGCAATTAGAACAGCTACACTGAAGTCTGTGTGTGTGAGCGTGAGAGAGAGAAAGAGAGAGAAAATTATTGCTTAAAGAGTGACCCTGGATTAGCAAATTGGCTCGGTGCCATTTGGAGATTCTCAGATTTACTGCTTCTCTAACTGTTCTCGAAGCTCTGATTTATGGAGATCAGAATCTCTTGAAAGGCAAGGTGTCTGGAGTTTAGGGTCTTTCCTTGCCGGTCCCTCCTCTCCCACACACTCTTTTTGCCTGTGTTCACCTTGTGGCGACCTTGCGGGACTCAGCATTTTTACCTGAGCTCATTAGCTGGGGAGCCCACTAGCACGGCAGAGAGGGCAGTGGTTTCCATTCCTGGGTGATGGAGTCATGGGAGAAACTGCAGCGAACCAACAGAGAGACTAGGACCCGAGCTGGCTCGAGGGCTTTAAGCGGCTCAGGGCAGAGCAGCTGCTCTGTCTCCCAGCCTGCAAGTGCAGCCTGCGTTTGTCACTGACCACTGAAGTGTGTGTTTGTGCAAGGTGAGAACTGGGTGTTTTTTCGTTAATTTGGAGACAAATTGCCAGGTATTGCTGTTGATTGTGTTGCCAATTTGGGGATATTTATGTCACCACAATTCCAGGACGTAAATGGTGTGTGGTTTTATTTATACTCTTGTTTTCTGTCACAATCCATTCAGCTCGCCACGGTGTCCAAATTGTGGCAACAGATTGGACCTAGTGCTGTTCTTACGCTGAAGTGGGATCAGTTTAGTGCCGTTTGCTTGGATTCTTTCATTAATTGCTGCTGCCAACTGATAAAGCTATTCATATACACGATTCCAGTGCCTATTTGAAAGTGTATGAAAACTGCTTCAGATGGAAATCTGAATTGCTCCTTTTTGGAGTGCTTGCTGGGGTGTGTTCTTAGCTTCACCCATATTTTAGTGGTTGAAACTTTGGAGAGAGCAGAGTGCCTTAGGGTCTGACCTGGTGATGAAAGTAACATGGGGGTTTTCTGTTAGTGTTTGTCAAAATGAAAACTTCTGCTTGGTCATTGAGGGGGGTGTGTGTGTGTATTTGTAAAAACTGATTGAGAACCAAAAGAAAACCAAATAATACTTTGCTATCTTTTTATATGCTTATAATTGATTCGATCAGCTTATAAAGCTTTTGTTATCAACATATTTGAATTTTGGAACTTCGTATTTTGTGTACACAAGGACAATACAGCCACAGTGTGCACTTGCGAAGTTATGTGGGGACATGGAGCTTGTACTTACTGTGAGTACAATAGGAATCCAAAATGTGCTCTTGGCTAAATGGACGGGCCTTAATCCTGCACCAGTTCTGTATGTTAGCTACTCAACTGAATCCATACAAAATATACAGAAGATATATTGTATTATTGTATCTAAATAAATATACGAGAGACTTGTGTTCATGAAACACATGCTCTAGAAAAGGGAAAGGTATGGGAATTTGGCATTGTATAAATAGATTAAGAGGGAGTTGGAAAAGCTATCAAATTTTAAATGGAGGAAAAAGATGATACATTAAAATGAGGAATAATTATGATGGAGTACTCAAAAGTACTTCAACTGCTCAAAAGTTCATGTCTAATGAAAGAATAGTAGCATATTTAAGGAAATTCAGAGTGAGCAGAAATGAAGCCAAGAGCAAAAATTCTTACTAAAACATGTTCTCAACCTGTGAAATGTACGTATCTGCCTTAATTAAGTTGAATTCTGTTGCTGAGATTGATAAAAGTGAAATTTAAAACAATGTATATTTTAAAATTTTATTTAAAATTGGTCTCCATTTGGGTAGACTTTGAAAACTAATAAAGTAACATAAGTTATGTTAAAATGCAATGAACATTAAAATTATAAAGTACTTAACAAATAACATGCAATATCAAAATCATTTGTCCCACTTCTGAACGATGTTAGTTTGGAGACAGTCAAATACTGTAAACTGGAATGTCACCTGTTGCTATATACACATGGACTGCTAAGTTCCTTGGATACTCTTCATGGTTTCTTGCTTTCAGACTGTGTTAGAACATGTGGAATAGGAGCAAACACCTGACTCTAACATTGTCCTGCTTTCTGTGTGAGTTAAGAACAGCAGTAGTTTCATTTGACAGGTTTTGAACTTGAGATGTACAAAAAATTGATTGTTGGCCTTTCCATTTTGGAACCTGTACTACCTTGGCTTTTCTGCTGCTATGATCTAAAATTTGGCTCCTTCTTTAAAAGGGTATAAAATGACTTTGTCACCATATTCTCTTATCACTGTTTTATGAACGTGAGTGTTCGCATCTCCATGATCACTGCAGTCCAACATGTGCCATTGCAGTGTCCATCTGGACCCGTGGTCCCCTTCCGTACAAAAAGACTAGAAACTTAGTCATCTATTTGATGAAGCAGAATTAGTGTAAACAGCAAGAAAAGCCTTGAATAGTGTCTGTGTTTATTCTTTAGATAACTAGCTTAGGGCGACATGCGAAGAGATTTAAAAAGGTTTAGAGATTATAGGTACCGACCTCAAAGCACATGCCAATCTGTTCAAACACATTTACTTCTGTGCATTTAAGCTCTCCTGGTTAAAGGAAAAGATTAGCCTTTATTTATGTATTTGATAAGTATCTCTAATTTTTTAAAAAGCTTACACTTCTTAACACATTATGTTCTCGTGCTCTCTCTTCCTTCTTCCAGCTTTATTCTTTACTCGAGACTTTAAATTTACTAAATCCTTAATTTACTGAACCTTCTTTCTTTAAACCTACACTCAACCTCTTCACCTTGGGCAAGAAAGCAATTAGGATTTATCTCCTGGGACTAGAGAAAGACCCACCTTCTGGGAGATTAAGAGATGACTGGGTGGTTAGTGGGAAAGAATGGGAGAAATGGCAACCAGGCAGGTAATGACCGGGTCTGTCATGCTGAGCATTTCTGCTATTCATGCTTTCTTATCTAACTAGTCTGTAACTAGGCTTGGAAACCTTTATCAACAATTGTTTACACATACCAACATAGTTACACTTTCGCAAAGACTGTTGTTAAATTGAGATTAAATATGATTTGTAGTATGTGGGGTTGGCTTAAAGCTAGACAGTAGTTTTTATGTCTTTTTACCTTAGTATTAAGGTAATTAAGTTCTATTCTGCCTAACTCCTCCCAAAGTGGTATAGAGTCAGATGAAGTAATGAGCACTCACACAACTTTTACTATTACCTCCTGATTCTTTAGAGTAGGCCTAAGTTGTTTGAGGACAAAAAACACGGAAGGCAGAGTGTGTGATATGACTGTTCCTTGGGTTGATTCCCTCTGAGGCCACAAAGTGTCCCAACAGTCGCTGAGCTCCTTAGTGGATCACCAGCTGTGAGAACTTGGCAGCTGGAGTAGGAACAGGTGGCAGCAGCCATTCTCCATTGGAGACAGAGACTAAAAACATTTTCTACAAGTCTGTTCAAGAGGTCTGCCTCATTTGTCTTGAATCCAGTGCATCTTCTAAGAAGATGGAATGGGTAGTGTCTGGTGCCAGAAGACGGGCCCAGGCTGTGACTGCCTGTTGTCCTTGGACACCGCAGGAAGCTCCTATGGAAGTAGCTTATCTCAAATACACATTTTTACAACCAATAAAATTCCTGTTTTTTAAACCTTTAAATTATTTGCACTAGGGTAGGCTTCAAACCTGATCCCAGGGTCTACCCAGGTTCCCTCTAATAGCCACCCCCCACCACATACAACAAATAATTGCTCAAAAATAGTAATAACCAATTAAACTCTTTACATTTTAAGAGCCAAAAAATTCTCACCAATATGTAGTTCAAGTAATCACTTCAAGACAATGTAATTACAACTTCCAAATATTTGTAGTGGCCAAGAAACCATCAAAAAGAAATTATTGCAAATTTTCCTTTTACAGGCATGTTAGATCTTAAGGGAATTTTAAGAATTCTGCTCCAATGTATCAAAATCCATTAAAAGAGACTTTTATATGCTGTCTTCTGATAGAATATTTTTAAGATCAAAACGCTTTGAATATTTTGATGATAAAGTATAATACAACCTGGAGACCGTCCCTTCTCTGACTCCTATTCTCTTGTAGAATGGGGTTTTGCTCCACCGAGAGCTCCTATCAGAACACGCCAATGTGATAATGGGGATTCTTTTGTAACTATAAAGGAGTATGTTTTTCTTTACAAGTTTATGTAAGAACTATATTTTTAAATGTAGGTTTTGTTATTATTCAGGTATAGTGAGACCAACAGATCAGGAGACGACTGCCATTGAAAAGACAGTGTGCTATTCACAGTTCCCAAGAAAAGGGGGCATGCCACATCATGGGGGCCACATGGGGAGGCACTGGGCTAGGTCAGGAGGCAAAGGGAGAGGGGAAAATGTGGGCAAGAGCCTTTATTGTAGTTTACATGGAAAGGAGAAGGTGAAGCAGGATAAGCGGGTTTAGGATTGGCTGGTTTGAATAATTTCAGCAAGCTCTGGGGCATAGGGGCTGTTTCTGGTTGTCTGGTACCTGGCCCTGAGGTGTTTAGGGCAGATGGTTAGTGGCCCCGAGTGTGAGAGCCTCATGAGAGCCAGATAAAGGACCTGGTGAGGTGTGGGCTCTGGATTGGCTTATTTGCCCATGAAAGGTACACTACCGGGCGAGTCTTCAGTTTCTCTAGGAATTGGCTAGCCCTGGGAGGGGCAGTCTCTCCAGGGTCAGCAAGGTCCCAGATGTCAAAGCATCAGAAATACAAAAAATAAAAAGGCATAATTAATACAAACTAACACACCCAAACGAGAATAGACTACTTTGTATCATTTTGCCAAGTGTGGGGTTCACCTGGTTAGTCCATTTTTGACAACAATCTCTTGACACCAAATATACCCCATCAATTCAGGTACCTCTACTAGTAAACTCCAGAAATGTTTTTGTTTCACTGGTTTTTGTTTTTTAAATTTAATACTTTAAAACAACAAAAGGGTTGAAAATAACTGAATCCTCTTTACTGAATAATTAGGTCCATTTTACTTGTCCTACACAGCTATGTGTTATTTGATTTAGAGTCTAACAATAAATGCTTCTATATTAGGGTTCTGGTAAAACTCTTAATTAGGCTAGGATTATTAAGGGAATTATCTCTTTGCGCATTCACCCTTCACCTTTGGTTGAAATCTTGTGGCACACAATCATATAGAAAAAATAAATGATTAAGTCAACCAAACTCATTGACAGAATTTTCTTCAGATTCCCTAAGAGGCTTTTACCCTGTTTTAGTTCTGGTTTTCATAATAAAGAAATTCAGAAAAGAAGAGTAAAATATGTTGATTATTTTGCTCAAACAAAAGCTGGATCTCCTGTTGCTTAAAAATATCCATAACCAGCTGTGCCCTTATAAACAAACATACAATGTGTCGAGGGACATGCATAAATTGACTAGCAATTTAGTTTCAGCTGAACTGGCAAAACCGTCATTCATAATATCTTACTCCCAGAGTCAGCAGCAATGTACAGAGGGATCAAAGAACTAT